TAATTTACTACTGTTTATTCCCGATTATGCACAGACCATCAGGAACACATCTGTAGTTGAATAAAGATGGGTTTCTTGGCTTCTTGCAACGAGGGAGGACATATACTATGAGGAATATGGGGCATCTCAGTAGAAAGATATCAGAGAGAATTTATTATATGATTTGGGCTTGTGTTAGTCAGTTTTGGGAGAATTTAAGGAAGTATTGGTTTTCTCCAGATGCTGTCAAAGTGGATAGAAATTCTATGATTGGGTATCTTAATTTTTATCTAGAAGGCAGTTGGGCTAAAGCTGTCCTTGGTCAAGAGGCAGCACTCACTTATATTAGCCTAAAGAGTAGGATGTTTGGTTATTTTTGTAATTGGGACAGTGTTCCTGATTTTGTGCTCAGATGTGATTGTAGAGTGTTCTTGTTTTGTCTTGATCCATCACGCTCACATAGTGGCTTGGTCTGATGTTGACATTCTGTGAAATTGCTGATATTCAACAAGATTACACCAGGGCCTGGCTGGGCGTGCCAGGCCAGCAACTGGCAACACCAATACATAACTGATAGTGCCAGGCCAGTTCCCAGCTTCGAAGGACTGCTTTCCTCTCTGTAAGTGTGTGCTGAGGATCCAGAAATGAAAAAGGCAATTTCTGTTCTCAAGGAGCTCCCTCAGGAGAAGTACACGTAAATGAATAAATTCCACTATAGTGTGGTATGTGTAATAATGAAAGTGTTAAAAGCAACCTCAACAAATTATTATTTAGCATGTATTCAAATTTTATTTCAAACTTACCACAAATAAACTATATCTCTAAGAATATTTTTGAAAGAGTTCCTTCTGGTCAAGAGAGGTTTATTTTTATTTTTATTTTTTCTCATTAGAGAGAAAGTATTTAGATAATGTTGTTAGACTAATGATAAGAAAGGTGTGTGTGTTTGTTAAAGAGTTTAGAAAGGTCTCCTGGCTAGTTAAGAGTCACTACACCTTCAGTATGCATTAAAAATGGGCGGTCTTTTTGTATATCAATCATACCTAAATAAAACTTTTTAAAAAAGTGACTGGATTTTAATTGCAGATATTCCCCACTGTTTGAAAGTTTTTGTTACTCCACTTCACTTTTATGAAAGACCTATGTTACACCTGTTTTTGCTAACCGAAAGAAATCTGAAGAAATTTTTGCTTTTAGATTAATGGTAATCGCTTCTTCTCTTAATACCATATTGGCTTATTAAGGTTTTCATAGGAATCCTCTACTTTTGGATAGTAGGGGATACCTATATTTGGTAAAAGTCATTAGACTTATCCTTAAACTGATGATAAATCCTTCAGGATATTCTGACTTTCCTCTTATAGGAATCTCATTTTATCATTGCAATAAGTACGACCTTTAAAAAACTTTCACTTTATGTTAAAGTCCAGAGAATTAAGGCTTTAGTAGTGAGTATAATTTAAGCTGAGTATACTTCCAGGGGAAAAAAATGTGTTCTCTAACTACTCAGAGTGAGGGCTAAAAGAACATTGAAAGTACTTATACTTCCCCACCTTATTCTTTATTAGAACCTGGAAGCATGGCACATCATTGACTCACAAATTTTGACTAATTCTGATTCTGAACAGGACACTTCTCAGAGCAAGTTTCATGTCCCTATTACGAAGACTATAGATGAGGGGATTAAAGAAAGGAGTCATTACTGAATATACCAGTGTGAGGATCTTCTGCATCAAAGTAGTGATGCCATATGTAGGGCTCACATACATTACCATGACTGTCCCATAGAAAAGACACACCACAACTAAATGAGATCCACAGGTAGAAAAGGCCTTTCTCCGGCCAGCCGCAGAAGGGACCTGCAAAACAGTTCTGAGTAACAGGGTATAGGATCGAAAAATGTATGTAATAGTGAAAAAGAGGACAAGAGAGCTCTCAGTATAGAAAATAAGTTCAGTAATGGGAGCTGGAGCACAGGACAGAGCCATCAGTGGGTCCATGTCACAGAGGAAGTGATCAATGATATTGGGTCCACAGAAGGGGAGTTGGGAGATGAAGAAAATAGGGATTGGGTAGCCAAGGAATCCAGTGAGCCAGCAGAGAGACACTAACATTCTACAGAGCTTCCCAGTCATGATGGTGGGGTAGTGTAGTGGGTGACAGATGGCCAGGTACCGATCGTAAGCCATGATTGCCAGGAAGAGACATTCAGTTGTGCCGAGGGAAAAAAAGAAGTAGAACTGGAGGAAGCAGCCATACAATGATATAACCTTGGTTTTGGAGAGAATATTGGCTAGCATGTTTGGAACAGTGGAGGAAACGTACCAGATCTCAAGGAAGGCAAAGTTTCCCAGCAGAAAGTACATGGGTGTGTGCAGTCGAGGGTCCCATCTCACTGCACAGATAATGGCTCCATTCCCCAGCAAGGTCAAGATATAAATAACCAAAAAGAGTGCAAAGAGGAAAATCTGTATCTCCCAGCAACCAGGGAATCCAAGGAGAACAAACTCAGTCACGATGTGTGTTGCTGACCTGTTCATGGGTCTTAAATCTACGAAGAAGAAAGACATGAGTGTAACTCAAGTTGCTTGGCTTCCTAAATCTCTCAAGGACTTTATTGAGAAGGAAACTTAAGCTCTACAGGAAATTATAAAATATATCTTGAGACCGAATGGGAATAGAGCCCACCTTATTTTGAATTGATCGTGGTTCTAAATCTCAGTATTATTTTGCTAGGATTCAATGCAGCAAGAATTTTCCACACCAATGGTACAAACAAACAAATATCTTTGTTTTTGCTTTGATCCTTATAAAGACCTTTTCTGATTTTGGTTTGTTTTTCTAAAGATCATTAATGGTCTTCATGCACAAATTCATCCACTTTTTCTGATTCAGCTTACATTTTTAAAAACGTATGAAATTTGGTTAAACCTTTGGCAGCAGAACCGACTTAGTTGACTAACATGTGGAGATAAAACTTACTTCAGGACTCTGGGTTTTTGTAGTAGTCTAATCAACTGAATTGATTGTCTCAGACATCACTATGCTCAAGACTCAAGACCGTTCTTAAATTTTCCTCGAAAGAGGTTCTTTTAAAGTATCACTTTAAATATCACTTTTGAGAGACACCAAAAAAATGTACAAAAGAACCAGCATGTTAAAACATTTTTGCTCTAAAAAAGGGAGAAAATTATTTTTTAAATATGTCAATTTGCAAGAGTTTGTTTACATGGTTTTTACACCTAATAAATAAAAATGAACTATCTTATTTTTATATTCAGAATCTGCCTAAATAAAATAAAGAAATGATGTTTTCAAGACAGGTTTATTTAATAAGTATTTTTACATGATATAAACAAAGAGATCTAAGTCAAATGAGGTTTATCTGCAATATTATCCTGTAGAATTAATTTTGTTCTTTAAAAGGGAAGAGAGGACATTTTCAAATATTTGAACAGTCAGGTACTTTTTAGTCTTATTTAAGAATTTATATTTAATAGTTGTCAAAAATATACAAATTTTTTGTTTAAACATCAAAGTAATCTTGCACCGATTAATATTAAAAAGCATTGATTAAGAGCCTTAAAATGTTAGTTTTGCTATTGAGTTTTCTTGTTAAGTTCGGATTTCTTGTTTTGAATGTTAGAGTTCATCAGTCATAACTTTGTCTGGAATGGAAGATAAATTTGAAAGGCAAAGAAAAAAGAGAAGAAACCAAGATTTTGGCTTCAATATCACTAGTCCCCCATTGATGGTTTTTATGGACGCACAAAAAAGGAGGCTTGAGCATCCACGTTCTAAAGTTGTCTAGTTTTCCAGTCAATGTTGAATTCAAAAGACATTTGTTTACCACCTTCCCCAATTAAGATGTTTAATAGAGTATTCCTAGACTGTCATGACTGTTATTTACAGAGTCTAAATAAATCACTTTCCCTGCTGCAGGTCAGAAACTAAATCCAGGCTCAGAGATTTAAACCAGGAACCACGTTCATGAAATCTGTGCTTCCCGACCTTTCTGAAAAAGTGGAACATGCATGTTTAATGTGAATAACAGTTCAGGACACTACATTGTACAATGACAGCTTCACACCTCTATCTTTTTTTTTTTTTTAATATCACCATACCCTGTAAGGTTTATTAGCAGTGATATTATTTTTCCTGTAGCTTTTGATGAAAATGTAGACAAGTAATGAGATGATCAAAGGGTAAGGAGCTAAATGGAAAAGCCAGAGTAATCAATTTTCATTTTAGGCATTGACAAAATAAACCGACCCCATCAAGGTCTGCATAACTCCCCCTTTGAAGCTCTAAACAGTATGCCATAAACATACCGTTTCTCATCATTTTATGCCATAAACAACATGTTTCTCATGTTTATGCCATAAACATACTGTTTCTCATGCTTCTCATTTTATGCCATAAACATACTGTTTCTCATGCTTTTAAAAAGCATGATAAATTATCACATGAGCTATCATCCTTGGGAACCAACTCTTTTGTACACTCCTTTCCAATGTAAGAAACCAACCAATCAACCAACCAACCAACCAACCAACCAACCAATCAACCAACCAACCAACCAGTCAACTCACCATTTTGCCCACCTCAAGAATAATAGCTTGATTAAATAGCCTCCTTTCAAATGTGCCTCAATTGGTATACTGTCTTCTCAGGTAGTCTGAGAGGAGGGTATACCACCTTATTACTTCTGAAAAGTGAGATTGTTTCAGAAAGATGGTCCCTAATAATTATAAAATCATAGATTTGGGAAAAGTGGTGCAGCTGATCTATTCTACGTATTCGTTTCACGGATAGGCTACCCACAGGGTGCATGACTTTTCACCCAGTGAACATTAAGTGTCCTGTATTCACATATGAAACATTTATGCTATACTACTACAGAAGAACAATGACTAATCAGATTTATAAAGTAAAAGGCACTCGGTAGTATATCACAGCAGTGGATGTAATGTGAACAATTAGTCTTTTTTTCTCTTACATACGATGATGGTTTTCCTGACTCAGCTTGGAGAGAGGGATGGGTTCAGTGGTGCCGAACATAAAGGCAGCTCCTCTTCATTGGCTCTAATGAGGAAAATTCCAGGTGAGGGCGTCATGCGTGGTTCCCTGGACTGCCTTCACTTCTGGAGGTTCCAGAGGCTTGTTTTCTAGGAGTTTGCTGAGATATTTAACACATGAAGCAGGGTTTCTGATGTTTCCTCTCAGGGATTACTCTAATACTCTATGTTTCTCCCCAAGGTCTCAGTGGCATCCTCAAGTTTCCCCTGGAGTGCATCTGCTTTCCAATCTTTGGGGCTCATCCAGTAGATTAGCTCATAGGGAGTGGCTAGAGTCAAAGAAATAGAGAACCCAGGGAAAGGACGGGATAGATTTCAGAAGGCTTTCTATTGCAGAGCTTGCATTCCATTAAGGAATACCCTCTGTGGAGATCAGTGAGATAAATGGAAGTTGTGCCCATGACTCTAATTATGAAACAGACATGTTTGTGAACATTTTCTATCTAGCTTAAACAAAATGCTATAACACAGCAAAACAGGAAAGTATATTGTGAACTATATTTGTGAAGTACATTTAAAGTTGGTCACTTTAAAATTAAATCCACTGAATTTTCCTGGAGTCGTTCTCTGTAATGACCAGGTGTTCGGTATTAGGGAGGAACTGTTTGTGTGATCTGATCATGATGTGGAGTGGTGTTAATTGATGAGGAAGGAATTCCAAAATGGTAGAAGGCACTTAATCGACTAATCTAGTCAAATGATCAGTTTCCATTCTGATTTCACTTTCGAAGAGTGAGGAATTTAAAAGCAGTGCAAATGTGAGAAGAGATTTTTACCATCGGTATTTTATTTATCTTCTTAAAAAATTGGGGATTCTTCCTAGGGTCCTCTCAAATGATTTCATTAAAATACGACTCCTAGGTTTCCCTAGGAGTGAGGTAACAGTGAAGATTCATAAGAAAACCTTCACAGGTGGGTACTGGGGCAGCTTGTAAGTGAACCTGATATTCAGAGATGCTCTATGCCATTTCTCCATTGGCTTCCTTGTCAAATACTAGTAGGTCAAATATATGAGTGTTTATATTTGGGCTTTCAGTTCTGTTGTATTGGTCTATGTGTCTGTTTTTATACCTGTACCATACTGTTTTGATTTCTATAGCTTGCTAGTATAGCTTGAAATCAGGAAGTCTGATGCCTCCAGCTTTGTTCTTCTTTCTCTGGATTGCTTTGACTATTTACAGTCTTTTATGGTTTCATATGAATTTTAGGGTTTTTTTTTTATTGCTTTAAAAAATGGTGTTGGAATTTTGATAGGAATTGCATTGAGTCTATCTATGTCTTTGGGTAGTATGGACATTTTTTACAAGATCAGTTCTATCCCATGAGTTGGAATATCTTTTCATTTATTAGTGTCCTCTTCAATTTCTTTTATTAAAATCTTATAGTTTTAATCTTCAGTATACAGAACTTTCTCCATTTCCGTTAAATTTATTAGTATATATTTTATTGTTTTTGATGCTACTGTGAATGGGATTGTTATCTTTATTTCTTTTTCAGATATTTCATAGTTAGTATATATAAATTCAACTGCTTTTTGTATATTGAGTTTGTACCTGAAACTTTACTGAATTTGTTAATAGTTCTAACAGTTTTTTTGTGGTGCTGTTAGAATTTGCTGTATATAATATCATTTAATCTGCATACAAAGAGATTTTATCTTCTTCATTTTTTCTAATTAGATGCCTCATTTCTTTTTCTTGACTGATTGCTCTGGCTAGGACTTCTAGTATTATGTTGAATAGAAATGGTGAGTGTGGACAGTCTCGTCTTGTTTCTAATCTACATCACCATTATAGTTCCATAGAACAGAGACACCACAACTAAGTGGAATCCACAGGTAGAGAAGACCTTTTCCTGCCCAGCTGAAGAAGGATCCTGAAGCACAGCTCTGAGCACCAGGATATATGACCCTGGGATGTACAACATGGTGAGAATGAGGATAAGAGAGCTCACAGAATGAAAAACATGCTCGATGATGAGTGTAGGTGCATTGGACAATGCAATTAGTGGGTCCACATCACAAAGAATGTGATCAATGATGTTGGGACCACCGAAAGATAGTTGAAAATAAAGAAAATAGAAGTTGAATGTCCAAGGAAACTAACGAGCCAACAGAGAGATATGAGAATGGCACAGAGCTGTCCAGTATGACTGAGGGATAGTGCAGTGGACAGCAGATGGCTAGGTATAGATCGTAAGCCATGACAGAGAGGAAGAAGCATTTAGTTGTACCCAGGGGAAAGAAGAAGCAGAAATGAGTGAAGCAAGCAGAAAACGATATGGTCTTGGTTTTGGAAAGAAAATTAACCAGCATGTTGGGGACTGTGCAGGTCACATACCAGATCTCTAGAAAGAAGTTGGCCAGGTGCATGTACATAAGGGTGTAAAGTTGGTTGTCCCACAAAACTACACAAATGATGGCCGTATTCCTAGAAAGAGTCAAGATGTAGACCAAAAAAATCATTCAGAAAAGAATGATTTGCACTTTCCAGGGACCAGGAGAGCCCAACAAGACAAACTGTGTCACAGTAGATATCCCTGACTTATTCATTGTCCCCAGCCTGTGGAGAGAAGATGAAAGATAATGACAAGTTACTCTACCACTGAGGCATTTGAAACTTTTCTTAGGACAGGGAGTTTGATTGATACAGGGAAATGTATTGAATATTCGAAAACAAGTCTTGAATTAATTGTACCCTATTCTGCATGAGCCCTTTGACCTTAATTCTTAATAAATGTACAGTTCTAGGCTGCTTGAACTTTTTTGTCAGTAGACAAAATCAGGTAAATTTCATCTTTTGATGTAAAGAAATCGTGAAATAGAGGCAAAATGTTTTGTCTTACATCTAATTTTTTTCAGTGAAAGTGTTCATATATAACAATTAGTGCTATTCACTTCAAAATGTGAGGACACATAAGCTATCTTTAAAAACAGATTTGAATCTGACACTTTTTACAGATTTAAGTGGTATTAGTTTTGATGCTATTTCAGATTCCATTCCCCTCTTAATCTATTTTCATTAGGAGAATTTAATTTCTCTAATTTCTTTCATGATACCAGAAGAAAATCAACAAGGATATTCAGATAGTAAATAATTTATACATTTTTCTATTTTCCATTTAAAGACATTTATATTGCACTACAGCTCATTTATAATTTGGTATTTAATCTTTTGTTTTTGTCAATAAAAATCACTGTTATTCACTTCATGATGATTAATTCCCATGGTGATTTATCATCATGCTTCATGTACATTTATTTTTTGTATTTCATTTTTTATTTGCTTGGTTGGTTATGTATTTATTTATTTTGCTAAACTATAGAAAAGCAAGACACATATACCATCTGAAATATATGCGCATCTTCTAATGATAACTTTTCACCTAAATAGCCACAATATTGTCATCACACTAAGAACATTAACATTCATTAAGTAATACCATCTATTTCTTTTTCTTTTTTAAAAATTAATTAATTAATTAATATTTTTAATTGAAGAAATGATTTAAATATTTTTTCCCTGTTGACCTACAGACTCCCACCTCCTCCCTCCCCTGTGGTAACCACTAGTCTATTGTCCACGTCCATGAGTCTCTGTTTGTTTGTCCTGCTCATTTGTTGCTTTTAAGTTTATATCCCACATATAAGTGATATCACATGATTTTCAACTTTTCTGTCTGGCTTATTTCACTTAGCATGATTATCTCAAGTTGCATCCATGTTGTCACAAATGGCAGTATTTCATTTCTTATGACTGAGTAATATTCCATTGTATATATGTACCAAAGCTTCTTTAGGCAATCATCTATCATTAGGACAGTTTGGTTGCTTCCATGTCCTGGCCACTGTGAATAATGCTGCTATGAACATCAGTGTGCAATAATCATTATGGATATGAGTTTTCAAGTATTTGGGGTAAAAATCCAGTAGAGGGATTGCTGGATCATATGGTAGATCAATTCTGATTTTTGAGGAACCTCCATACTGTATTCCATAGTGGCTGTCCCAATTTGCAGTCCCACCAACAGTGTATGAGGGTTCCTATTTCTCCACGTCCTCTCCAACATTTGTTTATAAGGGTTCCTTTTTCTCCACATCCTCTCCAACATTTGTTATTACTTGTCCTGTTGATTATAGCTATTCTAACAGGTGTGAGATGGTATCTCATTATGGTTTTAATGTGCATTTCCCTAAAAGCTAGTGATGCTGAGCATCTTTTCATATGATTGTAGGCCATTTGTATGTCCTCTAGGGAGAAGTGTTTGTTCAGGTCCTCTGCCCATTTTTTAATTGGATCGTTTGTTTTTTTGTTATTATTGAGTCATATGAGTTCTTTGTATATTTTGGATCTTAGGCCCTTATCGGAGATGTTGCTTGCAAATATATTTTCCCATTCAGAATATTGTCTGTTTACCTTGTTGACAATTTCTTTTGCTGCGCACGAGTTTTTAGTTTGATGTAGTCTCATTCATTTATTTTAGCGTTTACTTCCCTTGCCTTTGAAGTCAAATTCATAAAATCCTCTTTAAGTTCAAGGTCCTTGAGTTTCATTCCTATGTTTTCTTCTATGCATTTTATTGTTTCAGGTCTTATATTCAGGTCCGTAATCCATTTTGAGTTAATTTTGGTGAGTGGTGATAGACAACAGTCTAGTTTCATTGTTTTGCAGGTGGCTTTCCAGTTTTCCCAGCACCATTTATTGAAGAGGCTTTCTTTTCTCCACTTTATGTTTTTGGCTTTTTTGTTGAAAATTGTTTGCCCATATAAACATGTCTGTTTTCCTGAAATACCATGCCATTTTGATTACTGTGGCTTTGTAGCATAATTTGAAGTTGGGCAGAGTGATGGCTCCAGCCTCATTTTTTTTTTTCTCAGGATGGCTTTGGCAATTCGGGGTCTTATGTGCTTTCATATAAATATCATGTTTTTTTGTTCCATTTCTTTAAAAAATGCTGATGGGATTTTGATGGGGATTGCATTAAATCTGTATAATGCTTTAGGTAATATAGTCATTTTAACTATGTTGAGTCTTCCAATCCAAGAACATGGAATATCTTTCCATTTCTTTGTATCTTCTTCTATTTTTTTAAATAGGGTCTTGTAGCTTTCATTATATAGGTCCTTCACATGTTTCATTAAATTTATTTCTAGGTATTTTATTCCTTTGTTGCAATTGCAAAAGGAATTATTTTTTCTACTTCTTTTTCTGACACTTCGTTGTTAGAGTATAGGAACGCTATGGATTTTTGAACATTGATTTTGTATCCAGAGACTTTACTGTATTTGCTTATTGTTTCTAGTAGTGTTCTTGTGTAGTCTTTAGGGTTTTCTATATGAAGAATCATGTCATCTACAAATAGTGACAGTTTGACTTCTTTGTTTCCTATTTGGATGCCTTCTATATCTTTCTCTTTTCTGATTGCACTCGCTAGGACCTCCAATATTATACTGAATAACAGTGGCGATAGTGGACAGCCTTGCCTTGTCCCTGATCTTAGAGCGAAGGTTTTTAGTTTTTCACCATTAAGTATAATGTTGGCTCAGGGTTTGTCATAGATGGCCTTTATTATGCTAAGCTACTTTTCTTCTATACTGATTTCATTAAGTGTTTCGATCATAAATGGATGCTGTATCTTGTTAAAGGCTTTTTCTTCATCTATTAATATGATCATATGATTCTTATTTTTTAATTTGTTTATGTGGTATCACATTGGTCGATTTGCATATGTTGAACCATCCTTGTGCCTCTGGGATGAAGCCCACTTGATCGTGGTGTATAATCTTTTTAATATGTTGCTGTATTATGTTCACTAGTATCTTATTTAGGATTTTTTCATTTTGTTCATAATAGGTATTGGTCTGTAGTTTTCTTTTTTTGTGTTATTTTTACCTGGTTTTGGTATCAGAGTGATATTGGCATCATAAAATGAGTTGGGAAGTATTGCCTCCTCTTCAATTTTTTGGAAGAGTTTGAGAATAGGTATTAAATCTTTGAATGGTAGAATTCACTGGTGAAGCCATCTGGTCCTGGACTTTTACTTTTTGCTATGTTTTTGATGATTGTTTCAATTTCCATATTGCTGATCGATCTGTTTAGATTTTCTAGTTCTTGATTCAATCTAGGAAGGTTGTATCTTTCTAAGTACTTGTCCATTTCTTCTAGGTTATTAAATTTGGTGGTATATACTTTGTCATAGTATTCTTGTATGATCCTTTGTATTTCTGCAGTGTCTGGCGTAATTTCTTCTCTTTCATCTCTGATTTTGTTTATTTGTGTCCTTTCTCTTTTTTCTTTAGTGAGTCTAGCCAGGGATTTGTCAATTTTATTAAACTTCTCAAAGAACCAGCTCTTTGTTACGTTTTTCTACTTATTGTTCGTTTTCAATTTCATTTAATTCTGCTCTACTTTTGATTATTTCTTTCCTTCTGCTGATTTTAGGCTTCATTTTTTTCTTCCTCTCCTAGTTTAAGATGAAGCATTAGGTTGTTTATTTGGGTTCATTCTTGTTTTTGGACATAGGTCTGTAATGATATGAACTTTCCTCTTATGACCACTTTTGCCGAATCGCAAAAGTTTTGAAGTGTTGTACTATCATTATCATTCGTTTCTATGTGTCTCTTGATCTCTCTTTTTATTTCTTCTCTGATCCAGTTATTCTTCAGTAGTATGTTGTTTAATCTCCATGTATTTGTGGTTCTTCCTGCTTTCTGTTACAGTTGATCTCCAGCTTCGAAGTATTATGATCAGAGAATATGGTTGGTATGATTCCAACCTCATTTATATGTGTTGAGGCTATCTCTGTGTCCCAGTATGTGGTCAATCCTTGAGAATGTTCCATGTGCACTAGAGAAGAATGTATAAGCAGCCGATTCGGGATGGAAGGCATACATATTAATAAGTGTTATGTCTTCTTGGTGCATGATTCCCTTTATCATTATGAAGTGTTCCTCAGTATCTTTCTTTATCTTTTTGATTTTAAAGTCTATTCTGCTTGATATTAGTACAGCTACTCCCGCTTTTCTCTGAATGCCATTTGCTTGAAATATCATTTTCTACCCTTTCATTTTGAGTCTCTGTTTGTCTTTGGAGCTGAGAAGTGTCTCCTGGAGGCAGTTTATGGTTGGGTTTCGTTTTATGATCCATCTGCAACTCTGTTCCTTTTTATTGATGAGTTCAGTCCATTGATATTTAGGGTGATTATTTAAATATGAGGTCTTATAGCCATTGTATCTTTTGTCTTCTGATAGCATGGTGTTTCCTTTGCTTCCTTGTCCTTGTGCTTCTGTACTCTTTATTTTGGTTATCTTTTGTGGCTTTTCCCTCTGGTCTTTCCTGTTTTATATGACATACTTCTTTTCTGAATACTTGGCGTGAAGTTACCATTATGAATATGATATATCTATATATATATATACAGTCCTCCCTTTTCTTCTGCACATGCCTTATCTCCATTCCCCATTCCCCTTTCCGAATCTGGATCTTTGAATCCTTCCCTTTTCAGTCATTTTTGTCTCAATTTGTTTCTACATATGCTGAATGTTCATTACTA